TAGACAAAAAAATCAGCAAACAAAAAACAAAACTGAACCAAACTTGTGAACAAATGGACTTAGTAGATGTTTACAGAGTGTTCCACTCACAACATCAGAAAACGCATTCTTCTCAGCTGCACACAGGATGTTCTCTAAAACAGACCACATAGTAGCCCATAGAACATGTTTAACTAAATGCAAAGGAATTAAAATTATCCTATGCATATTATCTGACCATAGTGCAATGAAATTGGAAATAACAAAAGGAACAACAAAAACTGCATAAACACATGGAAATTAACTAACAGCTTCCTGAACAACCAATGGGTCACAGATAAAATTAAAGAAGACATTAAACAATATCTACAATCAAATGAATATGTAAATAAACTTACTGGAATCGGTGGGATGCAATGAAAGCAGGCCTCAGAGGGAAATGTATAGTGGTGACCTAACACATCAAGAAAACAGAACAAGAACAAATAGGTAGCCTAATGCTGTACCTCAAACTTTTAGAAAAAGAGCAAGTCAAGCACAAAGTCCAAAGAAGGAAGGAAATTATAAAGATCAGGGCAGAAATGAACACAATTGAGATGAAGAAAACAAAACAAAGGATTAATAAATCAAAGTTATTTACTCAAAGAATAAATAAAATTTATAAACACCTAGCCAACTTATCCAAAAAAGGAAAGAAAAAACTCAAATTCATGCAATAAGGAATGAGAAGAGGGAAATCACTACAGATCCTATTGAAATTCAGAAGCTCATCAACACCTACTTTGAAAATCTTTACTCCCATAGCATGGAAAACAAAGAAGAAATGGACAGATTCCTAGATAAGGATGAATTAAAAAGCTGAATCAAGAAGAAATAAAAATTTGAATAACCCAATATCAACAAAATAGAAAATGTGATTTAAAACCTACCAACGAAGAAAACCCCAGGTTCTGATGAATTCACAGTTGAATTCTACAAGAAATTCAAATATTTAATGCCAATACTGCTCAAACTCTTAAATGAAATTGAAAAGGAAGCTATTTTCCCTAACTCATTTCTGGAGGCAGGTACTGTGTTGATACCAAAACCAGGGAAAGATCCAATCAAAAAAGAAAACTACAGCCCAATCTCCCTAAAGAACACAGATACAAAAATACTCAACAAAATACTATTGAAGAGAATGCAACAAATCATCAAGAAGATTACATACCATGACCAAGTGGTATTCATCCCAGGGAGGCAGGGATGGTTCAATATACACAAATCAATAAATGTAATATACCATATCTACAGAGCCAAAGACAAAAACCACATGATCATCTCGATTGACGCAGAAAAACCTTTTGACAAAGTCCAACATTCATTTATGATGAAAATCCTACAGAAAATCAGAATAGATGGTCTTTACCTCAATCTGATCAAAGCCATCTATGACAAATCAAAAGTCAACATCATAAAATCAGGAACAAGACAAGGATGTCCACTGTCACCACTCCTATTCAACACAGTTCTGGAAACATTAGTCAGAACAATTAGACAAGAAAGAGAAATAAAGGGAACAAGGACAGGAAAGGAAGAAGTGAAATTATCATTCTTTGCAGATGACATGATACTCCACATGGAAGACCCCAAAAACTCAACAAAAGACTTGTAGATTAATAACCAAATTCAGTAGCATAGCTGGATACAAAATCAACGCTCAAAAACCAATAGCATTCCTGTACACAAACAACAAACACACTGAGAGAGAAACTGGGGAAACCACACCTTTCACAAGCATACAAAACAATGAAATACTTAGGAATCAATCTAACAAAGAAAGTAAAAGATCTATACAGTGAAAATTACAGTACTCTGGAAAAAAAAAAGAGAACAAAGAGGATATCAGAAAATGGAAAGATATTTCCTGCTCATGGATAGGAACAGCCAACACTGTAAAATGGCCATACTCCCAAAACTGCTACACAGATGCAATCCCAATGCAAAGACAATCAATGCAACTGACCCAATTCAATGCAATCCCAATTAAAAGACCATTAGTACCCCTCACAGATCTAGAGAAAACATTCCTAAAATTCACCTGGAACCAAAGAGACCCACAATAGCAAAAGCAATCCCAGGCAACAAAGGCAAGGCAGGAAGCATCACAATCCCTGACTTGAAACTATACTACAAAGCTAATGTGATAAAATCAGTATGGTACTGGCACAAAAACAGACCTGAGGATCAGTGGAACATATTAGAAGATATAGACACAACTCCAAACACACTTGGCCACCTTATCTTTGACAAAGGGACCAAATATGTTCACTGGAAGAAAGATAGCCTCGTTAGTAAATGCTGCTGGAAAAACTGGCTTTCCACATGCTGAAGACTAAAATGAGACCCATGTCTATCACCACGCACTAAGCTAAAGCCAAAATGGATCAAAGATCTAAATATTAAAACAGAAACGCTAAACCTACTGGAAGACAAAGGAGGAAAAATCTTGAACACATAAGGGCAGGCAGACAGTTCATGAACAAAAACCAAACTGCATGGGAAATACTTCAAAGACTCCAAAACTAGGATCTCATCTTACTGAAAAGTTTTTGCACATCAAAAGAAATCACCCAACAGGGTAAAAGGAAAACCCACAAACTGAGAAAAAACTTTAGCTAACTGTCCCTCAGACAATAGACTTCTACCTACAACATATGAAGAAGTTCAAAAAATCAGGCCCCCAAAATTCAAAGACCAAATCTAAAAATGAGCATCTGAGATGAATACATACTTCTCAGAGGAAGAAATACAAATGGCAAATAAATATATGAAAAATGTTCAACATCATTAGTCAGTCAAGAAATGCAAATTAAAACAACTCTGAGATTCCATCTCACACCAGAAGGAATGATTCTCATCAAGAAATCAACCATTTTCGAATGTTGGAGAGACTAGGGGGAGAGAGGAACCCTTCTCCACTAGATAAGTGCAACCAGTGTGGAAATCAGTGTGGAGATTCCTCACAAAACTAGGATTAGAGGTCCCACTTAACCCCCCTATTTCCCTTTTGGGTATTTTTCCAGAAGAACTAACAACATCATACCACAGCGATATATGTGTGCCCATGTTTATAGCAGCACAATTTGTCATAGCTAAATCTTGGCCACAACCCAAATGCCCATCAACTGAGGAATGGATAAAAATGATATGGCATTTTTATATAATGGAATATTACTCAGTTATAAAGAAATATAAACTTGAGGATTTTATAGGTAAATGGATACAATTAGAGATCATACTCATAAGTGAAATAAATCAGAGTCACACGTGTAAATACTGTACTGTCTCCCTAGTGTAAGAACCTGAAAGAGTAAATAAAATCTGAAAGGTACAATAGATATTGTGAAAGGGAAAAAAACTACTCCAAAGGCAAGAATGACTGGGATGAGAGAAAACAGAAAAGATAAAAAAGAAGGAAGGGAAAAATATGTTCATATATATGTGTGTATGTATATATATATACACACACACACACAAGATAGCTAAGATAATTGTACCACTAATTTCTATTGCTTTATTGAAAGGAACAGTTAATTGTTTGATCAATCTTACATGCCTATATTTATTTGAGTAACCAATTTGAAGATAACAATATGTAAAAGAACAACCATTGTTAATTTCCTATCACCTTGTCTGAAATTCTGTATTGTTTTTATGTTGCTTAGTTTATCTCTTTGTGTTTGTTAATTTGTTTTTGTTCTTTTCTCTTTAAAATAAAAAAAAAGAAATTAAATAATAATACATATTGGGAAGGCAGTGAGGAAAAAGGAACCCTTTCACATTCTTGTGGGAATATAAACTAGTACAATACATTATGGAAATCAGTTGGAGATTCCTCAAGAAACTAAGAATAAAAATTTCACTGGACCCAGCTATACCTCTTCTAGGTATCTTCTGAAAAGAGCTAAAAATATCGTATTACAGTAATATGCACATACCCATGTTTATATCAGTACAATTCATAATAGCTAAATCTTGGAAATGACATACATGCCCATCAAAAGATGAATGGATAAAAAAATATGGTACATATACACATACAGAAAAATAAACTTGAGTCATTTGTAGGAAAACGGATGCACCTTGAGACCATAATGCTAAGTGAAATAAATCAAATACACATTGCACAGTTTCTCTTATGTAATAAATAGTATGAAGAGTAAAATTAATTACAATAGGAAATGGTATTAGAGGGGAAAAGGATCTAGAGATGGAGAGGAGAGGATAGGTAAGTAAAATGAATATGCCATGTGTACATGTACCTGTTCCCTACAGTGAATGTACTCAATCAATATGTATGGCAAATATGTACTAATAAAAAATAAATACATGTTAAATAAAAGAACTTAAAAGTAATATTCCTTTAAAAAAACTATAGTTATTGCAGAATTTTAACTCTTCATTTTGAATTACAAAATGCTACGTCAATTTAACAAATGCAAACAACACCCTGAACATTATCTTAATTACTTAATTAACAAATTTCTGCTAAATTTTTAAAGTACAACAAATAGACAAAAACGAACACAAAGTGCAGACCACAGTATACTTTCTCAAAATACTACCGCACGCGTATCATTAGTTTAGGGGTTTTTTTAAATAATTTTTTTGTTTTGAGGTAGAATTTATATACAATAAAAAACATAAAACTTAAGTATACAATTTGGTGGATTCAGTAAGTGCCATACATTTGTATACTCAAACCTCTACCATGATACAGAACACAAGTATCACCTCCAAAAGTTCCCTCATCTCTTTGCAGCAAATCCCTCACCTCTTCCTAGCCCCTCACGGGCAATTATTGTTCTGATCTATTTTCTACTCTATCATTTTTGCTTTTTCCAGAACTTTATATAAATGGACTCATACAATATGTGCTCTTTCCTATAATGCTTCTTTCACTCAATACATTGGTTTTTTTTTTTTTTCCAGATCCATCCATACCTTTTTCTTAAAAATACAAAAGTTAATTTACTTACCATAAAAATGACTATTAGGATGAGACAGATGCCCACTATAATGAGGAAGGGAATTAGATAGTATTCTAGAGGAAGACTAAATTCTGGAACTAAGATAATGTGGCCCCTAGAAGAGAACAAAAATTAATCATTGAGAAACAATTATTGAGTTGTCAAATTATGATATTAAAAACAAATAAATTTTCTAAAGATATGCAAACATTAGGATTAAATCCACTATACACATCTAAGTTTCCGATATGTGCCTTCCAATAATTTAAGGAATGTTCTTTATATCAAATCTATTTATTTTAAAATAACTTGCCAATATAATAAAAAGATGTTCTTCAACTTGGTCAAGAAAACCAAGTATTACCATGTCTATCATAGAGGGAAGTTATTTGATGAATCATGTAACCTAGGAAAAATTATATTCTATATGCAACATTAGCATAAAGAATGATGGTAGTACCTTCATAGCATGTCAAGACCCCCACCTCAACCAAATTACCATTTATCTCTTCCTTCTACAGAAAAACTCTAGAGCCATTACTGATTTTAAACAACTCCTTTTTCCCTATGTGCTTTACATGCACCTGCTGTACCAATAAATAAGAGTCTCTGTATCCTACATTCACCTGTGAGATATGGAATTAAAAACTGGTCAAGGGGGCTGGGGATTTAGCTCAGCGGCAAAGCGCCTGCCTGGCAAGCGCAAGATCGTGAGTTCGGTTCCCGGTACCGGAAAAAAACAAAACAAAAAAAAAAGCTAAAAACTGGTCAAGGAATTCAGAAGAGTTGTTTCTTCGCTATTTTCCATGTTCTCCACTGCTTCCATGAAATAAACTACAGAAATTTGTATGTTGTGGAAGTGAAAGGAATACCTTTCCATTTTTTACTAATCATCCATTAAGAATTGTGACGTTACTATTACAAAAACTGATGGGGACCTAAAAAATAAAAATTGCTAAATAAGTGAACTATTTGTGCTACATGGACATCAAACATATGGCATCAAATTTTACTTTCAAAATCTCTTTAACCTAGAGGAGGGTCTGTAAAATGTTCAGTAATATGACTGATCTTCCTATTATGTCTATTGTTCTACAAGACTAGTAAGATGCCAGCAATGTTATTCTGAGTTCCACTGCTGGTGATTTTTTTTTAAGGTGGTAAAGCCAGACAGTTCATAATACAAAAGTTCAACGTAAAATAATAACTTTGAGGGTAAAGCAAAATAAAAACAGGTTGACTCCTCCCATAATAGAGGTACTTAGAATTCTATAGTACTTAAGAAAAATAACATAAAAGCAAATTATTTCTATTCCCAAGCTGTTAATCTTACGTCCAGGAGCTCTATTAATCTTTATAAACACACACACACACACACACACACACACACACACACACACACACACACACAAAGATAACAGCAGCAACTTCTCTCCAGGAATTTAAATACCCTCCCCAACTGATAAAACTGCTTAAATGCAAGTGGTCCTTCATAGCAAAATGTTGGATAATAAAGAATTTCACATGCAATTTGTACAGCTTTGTTTAAAATACTGAATGACTGATACATCAAAAGGGAAAGCAGCAGCAGGCCTGCGCTTACCTACTGGGTATCATCTCTTCCAGCAAAAGGCCAGCTCTGTAAATATGTCCCAGTTCTTAGCACAAACTCTCTGAAACTGCCCTGAGCCAATAGTACCACTTCTAAAGTATAAAGGCCATTCTATGAGATGTTAATTCTCTGTAAATTCCCTACTTCACTGTGCTATAAATTAACATTGCTTAGATACAGTAGCCAGATTACTGCATAACCTAAATTTAATTCATTGTAAATTCTTAAGATCTCATTAGTAGAAAAGTTTATACTTCTTATATTACAGTTTTTTTCTTCTCTTTTTATGTTTAGGTTTTATGTTTATGTTTAAGATACATTCAGTGTATACAAGTTAAACAAGCACTATCCCATGAGAGAAGATCAGGGTTACTCAGAAATAAACAGAACTGCTAGGTGAGAAGAAATAAGCTAAAAGAACAAATCAGAAAATCTCCATGAATTAGAAATTAACACTTTAATAGAAACCTCCTGTGTGTTTATAATTACAAAAGTGGAATCAATTCCAGAATTTTCCAGAAGCACTATTAGAATTCATTGGCCTGGATTATGATCAAATATTCTACATGTCCTATTAATGCTTGTCTGCTGTAGTTTATTGTCAAGATATATTATTGGAACACTAAATGGCTTGCAACTGATGAAAGATTTTAAGCATCTTGAATTAAAAGCTCAGTGTACATTTAAAATACTATTTTTTTCTTAACCAAATTGCTATTGGTCGATATAGTGAGAGTGCTGATATAGGGTGGGGATCTACAGAAGAAAATCAATCCTTTTGGCTTCACTTTTATTTCCTCTGTCTGGCCAGGTGGCCCACAGCTGAGCATGTACATTTATTCATCCCCGTCTAGTGCCGATGAATTTGTACTTCAAACACAAGTACTTAAACAACTTTAGTATCTTAGTACACTGCCTCCATGCCCACCTCTAAATACAGTATACTCCATAAACTCTGCAGTTAAGATTTTATCACTGAAGTAGAGTCTTAAGGAACCCAGGAAATAATGTCTTAATGTCCCTTGCGTGAGTTCCCAGGCTAATTTCAAATCAATATCTAGGCGTAAGCTTTATGAGAATAACCCTCCTAATTTCTCAATTCCTCTGTTCATACATGAAGTCTGGCCTTACTGTCTGCTCTGACAACCAAGTCCTACCCATTAAACTCCTACACTTCAGTGAAGTTACAGTCACACACCACAGCCTTCTGTCCTTGCCTTGGTCACTTTCTGGTCAGTGAGACACAACACCTGACACTTGCAACTTTAAGGAGGAGAGGTTTATTTGGGCGTGTGTTTTTAGCCTGTTTTTGCCTGCTTCCAAGACAGATGACAAGATGGAGGCACATGGTGGAAGACAGCTGAGCTGCTCAAGGCCAGGAAAACAGGAGGTAGAATAAAGGGAGGAGCTGGTGATACTGTATCCCTCCTAGGTCACACCCACAGTGAGCCACAGTGATCCACCTCTTGCGACTAAGTCCCACCTCCTAACAGCACATCTAGCTATAAACTCATTAGGGGACTAAACTATCCAGAGTATAGTGTCCCCAGGACCCAACCATTTTCCAAACACATGAGGCTTCTGGGGCCATTTTAGACCTAAACCATAACAGTACTATAGGACAACTTTTGAAGCAAGCATCAGTGATCAGCCCACCTGTTGGGGATACCAGCACTAATTGAGCTGACTACTTCTTCAACTTTCCCCCCCCAGACAAAGCTCATAGCTGTCTCACGAACACCCTGTACTCCACACTAGACAGAGCTCAGCCCTGGTTCCCATTTGTGGCACACCCTGTATCCCTGCCAGTGGACTGCTGTGTCTTGTTGAAGGGTCCCAAGGTAGTACAAAAGCAGTGTAAGTTCACCACCATTTACTGACCATCTATTATGATAAACCACTGTGCCCTGTGTCGGGGACAAAATATGAAAAAATAAGAGTCCCTCACCAGGAGAAAGAACATAAAGACCTCTGAATGGTAGGAAACCTCAAGGTTCTTTGCTCTATCTCATTTTCTTTTTTTCTTAGTATATATTTGCAATACATAATAATTATATCCAGCTCGGGAATTGGTACATACACATATCTAAATAACTTTCACTTCCCCTTCTCAACCTCCCATTTCTCTCATCCATGATCCCCTTACGATCTCCATAACATCTACCTCCCTATCCACGAAGATAAAATGACCTCCTAAAGGCCATACCCCAGCAATGTCTCTGTGCACTTCACTACTCAGTAGGCTCAGAACACTCCTTCCCCTTGGCTATCACCAGGAAAAGTTGTATGTCAACCAGTTACTCACCTTTCTTAGTTAAAAGTTGCAAACTACAGAGTTCAAGCTTTTAAAAGACCAAAGCTGACAAAGGACACTACATAAATTACAAAAATGTTGCTTCTGAATAAAGAAATACTAATATAACCAATGAGTCTTCTGAGTTTTCATATATATAAATTAAAACCAGTTAATAAATGTAATGTAAGAGGTTATTCTACTTACAACAACAATAAATAATGAGTCATAAATTTAACAAGAAATATTTTTCTCACATAGATTTTGGACTAAAATAACTTAAAAAAAAAATTCCAATCACAAATACATCAAATGGAAGGACAAACCACTTTCTTAAATAAGGGGATCCGTCATCTTAAAAATGATAACTCTCCCTAAATTAATTTATAAATACAGTGCAACTCCTTTAAAAATATCACCAGGGTTTTCTGGGGCTAGCAAAGTTGACTATTCAGCTTCTTTAGAAGGACAAATTAAAACCTTCACACATTGCTGGTGGGAATATAAGATGGTGCCAGGTACTATGAAAAAAGATGTGGCAGTTTCTCAAAAAGTTAAACATAGTTACTACATAACCCAGCCATTCCACTGTAGGTATATGCTCAAGAAAAATATGCACACATAAAAACTTGTACATAAATGTTTACACTTGCCAAAATGCTGCAGAAAATAGCTATATGTCCATCAATTAATGAATGGGTAAGCAAATCCACTGTATCCATATAATGAAATATTATTCAGCAATAAAAATAATAAAATACCAGTACATGCTACAAAATGATCACCTTGAAAACATTATTGAAAAGCCAGCACCATAAGTAAAATGAAAATGTCAACATAAAAAATTTGTAGGATATCATAAATGTTTAACACAATAAATAAAATGACCAATAACCTAATAGAAAAAGCAGTCTAAAGACAGAGTTCATAGAAAACAAAATACAAATAGCTCTTAAGCATTAAAAAAGTGCCCATATTTGCTTGTAATTTGAGAAATACACATTAAAATGATAACAGCACAGTATTTTTCTCACCTATCTGATTAGTCAAAAATCCCAAAATCTGACAACATACTTTGTTGATGAGGCAGTGAGAAAACCGACATGCTCATACATTAAGGCACAACCCTTCTGAAGAGGAATTTGACAATATCCAGCAATGATGGATATACCTTTAACCTTGAAACCAGAAACACCACTTCTAGGAATCTATTCCAAAAGTATACTGGCCAACCATGAAAAGACTCATCCATAAGGTTATTCACTGTAGCACTTCTTAAAATAGAAAAAGAAGTGTAAACAATTCAAATAACCATCCACAGGGCACTGTTTGATTAATAGGCATATCCACAAAATGGAGTTCTATGCAGATACAAAAAGAATGAAGAGTATCTGTGACCTCATGGCATGACCTGATGGATACACTGTTAAGTCAAAGCAGGACAGAGAATAGTATTTAGATATATGGGTAGAAGATAAAAGAGGCACGTACTTGCCACAAGATTTTAATGGATTAAAGAAACATTTGTATTAGTTGTTATTACTTAGAAGGCAAGTATGGGAACAAGATAGACAAGGTAGGTGATACTTAGAATCTACACTTCTTTGAATATAATTTGTTTGCTGATTTTGAATTCAGTTATCACAATTGAGCTGGATATAGTAGTATACACATATAATCCCAGCATTCTAGAAGGCTGAGGCAGACTGATTACAAGTTTGGGTCCCACCTGGGCAATTTAATGAGACCCTGTCTCAACATAAAAAATCAAAAGGGCTGTGGAGTGATTCACTGTGAAGGTCCGAGAGTCAATCCCCAATACCACGCCCCCGCCTCCCGAAAAAAAAAAAAAATCACAAGTGCAGGAGGGGTCTTGCTCTCTGTATTCTAAAAGCAAATGAATCAAATAAAGTTGTGGTGGGGGGTGGGGGTTTAGCTCAGCGGCACAGTGCCTGCCTGGCAAGCACGAAGTCGTGAGTTCGATTCCCAGTACCGGAAAAAAAAAAACCAAAAAACAAATAAACTTGTGTTTCCAATTGAAAGCATCAACACACAGAAATACATTCCATTATCTTTTGTTTTGTTTTGTTTTGGGGCTTTTTTTCTCCCCAGCATTAGGTATTAAACCCAGGGCCTTCACAATGAACAAATACATTTGTGGGTCTGTGTGTGTGTGTGTGTGTGTGTGTGTGTGTGTGTGTGTCTCCGTATGTGTATAGAATTTGCAATTCTTGAATTGACATAAAAAGTATTTATAAATTCACTGTAGTTACATGAATCTGCTTGATTATACTGCCTCAGATCCTATTTTGAATGTTACCAACTTTTGAAACTCTAAACATCTTCCAATTCTTCAATACATGTATCCAAAGTACAGGATATCATTTTTTGTGAACTCATATTAATATGGAAAGAGTTATATTAAGTAAACAAAACAATTTACAAAATATTATATATCATTCTATTTTATGCACATATTATAATTAATATGAGTAATCAAATATGGGAAAACTAAAAGCTTTTAATAGCTGCGTTGGAGAATGGAATCACTGGAACTGTCATTTCAGATATTTTCTATTTCTGAAGTTTTTAGGTATTTTACCTGTTTATGTGTATTACTTTTTAATGTGAAAAGATCTGATTTTACAGTTAAAATCAAAAAGATTCTTTATAAAATAAGATTTTTTTCTAATAAAGGAACAATACTGAGATAAAATTAAGTTTTAGTTTTCCCATCTACTAACCACACAAATACAGTTGACAAAATACCATCTTGTATAACTGGTTTTTAATACATCTAAAATTAGGTTCCCTAACTTAATAAAGATGGTCTGACCATGTAATATGTGAAAAGTATTTTAAGTTATCAATATTATATGAGAGGAATGATAAAAATAAGTATAAAATTCTTCCCTCTTTATGCATTTTTAAACTCAAATATTCATGGATCCCACCCCCACTAAATAATTAGAATTGGATTTCATAATGTCAGTTTCTTCTTTTGGTAAATATAGATAATAAGTGATAATAGTAAAATCTCTAGAGGGTTGTACCAATTAAATGGATAACAAAAACAAAAATCTCGCTCTCTTAAGTGCCAGGCACTTGCTAAATGTTTAACAAATATTAGTTGCTTCTGTTTTTATTTTGTTATTACTCCTATGTTCTGAAATCTGTTTCGGGGAAGAGGCCTGAAATGCTCACTGCACTGCCATGGATGGGGAAGTGATGACTTAAGTTAATTTTAGTCTCTGTTTTCTGTTTGTGATGAGCTGGGGTACGGAGCTGTAGTGGATTGATAACTGGTGGTCAACTTATAACCCCCAGCTGAACTGAATAAGTGTGGTGCTGGGTGTGGGAGGCCCACCTGAGGACTGTTGCCAGCAGCATAAGAGGCACACCTGGAGAAGAAGGCTGTGGGGAACTGAGAGAGGCTGTGGGGAACTGGCTTTCCTGATGAACTTGGCTGTTTTCTTCCTCTGAGGAGCTCGGGACCTCGCTGGCACTGAGAATGGCTTCAGTTCACTTTGGAGAGCTCTGGTCCTCACTTTGAGCATCGCTTCCTGGTTCCGGAGGGGAAGACGGTGCACTGCCAGCCTCCTGGAAAAGCTTGCTGAGTTGGCTTCCCTGATTAGAACTCGGCTATCCTGATCATCGGAGGAGCTCGGGACCTCACTGTTGCCGAGGATGGCTATGGTACCTTTTGGGGGAGCTCTGGTTCTTCTGAGCATCACTTCCTGGCTCCAGGGCAGATCCCTCAGCCTGCTAGCAAGGGTCCTTCCTCCTGCTGGCACAGACTTTGTAGATTCCACTACTGACCTTTGGGACTTCCCAGCAGATCTGTGAAACAGGCCTGCATGAGACGTTGTCATGGGCTCTAGGCCTCCAGTTGGATTCATGGGAGGCACTGTTATGAGCTCTGGGTATTCAGCTCAACTCATGTAGGACATTGTTGTGGGATCCAGGCCCTCAGCTGGATTCCTTGGTCTTAGTGTGTGGACAGATTTCCTGCACTCTTTTGTATGCTGTTCTTTGGGTGACTATTATAAATAATCATATGAAGTATGTGTCCTGTATTATGTTGTTCCCCTTGCAAAATAAGCCCCAAACCAACACAGGAGTGTCACAGAGAAGTTTTTAATCCAAATAAAATTTAACACTGTTTTGAGCAGTACTAGAGACAGAACCAAGGCCTCATGTATGCCCTCTACCAAAAACTGACTTTTTGTCTTTGTAAAAGTCACTCTCATTGTGTTTTGGATTCTACATTTATAAAATAACAAACCTTTTAAATAAAATATAAATAAATGTAATTTCATTGTTCTTAAACAATAAAATGGAAAGTTTTACCTTTTTAACAACATCAGTGCCAACATTAGTGACTCTCCCCAGCATAAATATATATTTTAATCATACACAGAAAAAACATAATACAGTAACTCAAAATCATAATGATTCAAAAAGAGATAATCAGCACAATAGCTCATTCTAAAATATAATATTGATTACAACTAGCATTATAAAATTCTACCTGAATATAATGAATTTAAAGTTACATGATGATTTTGGTATTTATTACTTACCCTTTTTCATATGTGAATTCATCTTTCAGGGAATTAGCTGAAGATTCACCAATAAAGACAGATGGAATGTCAATTTTCTTTAACACATCAACTATATAAAAGAATAATAAAATTACTTGTAAAAGCCCATTCTTAGTGTACAATCAACTTAACTTCATAATAGCAGCAAATGCAACTGGAAATAATTACAATCAGGATTCATTTTCTACTAGTTTATTTTTTAGATTACAGATTTATACTAATCATCAAAATAGCTTAGAAATATAACATACATGATTTTTCTTTTACTAACATTTACAACTTAAAAAGCTAACATTACCTCACTTAATTTCAATAGTTGTAAAAGACTGAGGCATAATTATCTTTAATGTTTGCATTTGATTTATTCCTCTATAGATATAACTGTTAGAAAAGGAAGATGAGGAAGACATTTTAGGTTTTCTTCCCACACATAATTCCTAAGTAAAAAAGAGAAAAAGCTTCTTTTACATACCCATTTCCAGCAGAAAGACAAGCCAAGACTGTAAGACCAGTTTATATCAGTTTAAAAAATAACACCAGCCTGCAGCTTTCCAGAGAAAGGCTGACAGGAACGTTGGAAGGCAAAGGACAACAAAGCTGTGTAAACGTCCACTTCTCCCCAGCGGGGGAGCAATGGTAAAGCTTTTTGTTTTGACTGGAATCTCAAAGCCAAAATCAAAAGCCACCAAAACAGAAATTTGTAAAAATTACCCCATTACTCATTTCTCAGGAACAGAATAAATTTTTTTTCTTTTCTTTCAAAGGTATGACTTCATAGTTCATTACTTAACCAACGGCTAGTCCACAACTATCTAATTAATTGTACTTTCTTCCCCTCACACAAATTCTTTTTTAAAGAAGTTTACTAGCACATATTACAACATCCACAGATGAACGAGCTGCATTTTGGCATATTTACACATGCATGTAACATACTTTAATCATTTCTAACACTCCACCTCCCCTCTGCCCTCCTCTTCGTTCCCTTCCTTCTTCTCTAACAGTCTCCCTTCTACTTTCATCACTCTGGTTTTGTTTTGTTTTTTTTTAATTCTGCATAAGAGAATACATTAAAAAGCTTCTGCTTTTTAAGAGACAGGCTACAAAATGGGAGAGACTCTGCCAGATTTCCTTCTGACAGAGGGCTAGTACCCAGAATACTGTACATAAAGAACTCAAAACAAACCAAAAACACCTCATCATATAATCCAATTAATACATGGGCAAATGAACTCAACAGATACTTCTCAACAGAAGAAATACAAATAACCAATAAGTATATGAAAAATATTGAACTTCTTTAGCCATCAGAGAAAGGGAAATCAAAGTGACATCAAAATTCCATCTCACCCCAAGAGAATGGCTATTAACAAAACTAAAAACAATCAATAATTGCTGGCAAGAACTTGGGGAAAAAGGAACACTTAATACATTGTTGCTATGAAAATCAGTATAGAGGTCCCACAAATAACTAAAAATAGGTCATTTGATCCAGCTATATATTTCTCAGTATATTCCTTTTTTTCTTTTTCTTTTTTTTTTTGGTTTTTTTTTCTGGTACCGGGAATCGAACTCATGACCTCGTGCTTGCCAGGCAGGTGCTGTGCCGCTGAGCTAAATCCCCAGCCCCTTCTCAGTATATTTCTGAAAGAATTAAAGTTAGCACACTACAAAAATACCCACATACCCATGTTTATTGCAGTATAATTCACAATAGCTAAGGTATAGGATCAGCCTCGGTGCCTATCAACAGATTACTAGATAAAAAATGTATAAATATACCGTTATGGTTGATACTGGGGAGTCTAGAGGTTTGGCTAAGTGACTCAGCAGGGAACCAGGGTGCTTACTTTGTATATACATCCTGAGCCTGTGGAAGAGGAGGGCATGGACATTATGTGAGAGCTACATGCCTGTGGGTGGGGGTAGCCTGTTTACAATGTAAGGGAGGAAAAGAGGCTGCTTGCCACCATTCCCCCCTTTTGCTCCTGTTGCTTTGCTGTGTTCTGCCGCCATGAATGTTTGCCCTCTGCCATGTGCCACTCTGCCTCAGAGCCAGACAGTATGGCCTGAAACCTCCACAAACTGTAAGCTAAATAAACCTTTCCTTCCTTAATTTTGGGCAATGGGTATTTTGTCTCAGTGAGAGAAAAGTAACCAAGACATATATCATGGAGTATTATTCAATAACAAAGAAGAACTTTGTTTTTCACTATTTAAAAATACATACTTGTTATGCATTTTAAAAGGAGGGAGATTACAAGAAAAGAAAAATAAAACTATAATACTTCCCACCTGAATATATTTATCTTATTTGAAGCAATCAACAGTTCTATAAGTTTTGACAAATACATACATCACATAAATACAACTAAGATACACACCATTACATCATTCCCCAAAACTTTTTTATTTCCTTTTATAGTCAACTCCTCCTCTTACCCTCATCAACCACTGATCTTTTTCCCTAAACCACAGATCTGTTTTGTTTTATTACTTAAAAAAAAAAGTTTTAAATCCTAGTGTCCTTGGTATAATACAGTAAGTTTTTTTACTTCCACTTTTTTTACACAAATCTAAACATTCATTCTCACGAACATAAGCCCTGCCCACCACACACAAAAGCCCAAGGAACAAAACTGGCTAGTGAAAGAATATTTAATCACTTTTTTATCAATGAGATCAATAAACATTTTATTTTTATATCAATGATATAATACAAAAACAAAAAAAACTTCCCACTCAAGGATACACCTCAGCTATCCTGAGGTGTCATGTCAATAAATACCATTTGTAGTAGCGCCAGAGGAACTGTTACAGAACCATCTATATTTTAGGGAGATATTTTTTATTTTGTTGAAAGATTTTTCATCATAATGCATGAGTTTTACTTTGACAATAACAACTTGAAATTACATACTCTTTGTAAGATGTTTCACTCTTTCATGAAGACATTCTGATAAACTCAAGCAGAAACTATTGGCTTGTAACTACTGGCTTATAATCTTTGAAAATAACATAACCTCTTTCAAATTACTATATCTAAAGAGCTGTAGAAAATGCCTCATGTTAGAGAAAGATTAAGATGAAAAGGGGGAAAACATTATATGCAAATATGAACCACCTTGGAAACTGCAACATTATTTATCTACTAAAAACAAAAAATGTTCCTTGTCCATTCATCTATTGATGGACACATAGGCTACCTCCAAGACTTAGCTATTATAAATTGTGTTGCTATAGATATAGGTATGCATGTATCTCTATAGTATGATGTCTTTAACTCCACACGATAAGAGTACTACTCTGCCATAAAGATAAACTTGAGTCATTTATAGAAAAAGGGACGCACCTTGAGACCATAAAGTTAAGTGAAATAAATCACACAAGCTTAAATACTGCATCATTTCTCTTATATGAAAGCCAATCATATAAATAAAAATCAAAATAAAAGACAGATAACAGGGAGTATGGAGGATTTTTCTCAAAGGGGGAGAGGATCAAGTGATGGAGGGAAGGAAAGCAGGGAAAGGGGCTGAAAAAAGGAAGGAATATGAGTTGTGTACGTGAAACAACTCCATACAAAAATGCAAACACTGTGTACTATAAACATGTACACAAAAAAGGAAGGGGATCAAGAGATGAATGGAGGGGAAAGGGAGGGAAGAGAAAGGGGGGAAAGAAGGAATTAAGGTGTACATGTACCAATTCCCCACAAAGACTGTCAATATTAGGTACTATAAACATGTACTAAAAACTGAGAAAGATGTTCTAATTCACAAAAAAAAAAATTTTTTTTTTTTTTTGGTTTTTTTTTTTTTTTTTCTGGTACCAGGAATCAAACTCACGATGTCACGCTTGCCACGGAAGGAACTGTGCTGCTGAGCTAAATTTCCAGCCCCCACAAGAAAATTTTAAAAACCACTAAATTTTAATTCTGATAAAACCACTCTGAGAAATACATCTTTCCAAACAGGACTATCATATCACAGACAAATGATCATTTCAATGGCCAGCTCACGTCTCTCCAGATTCGAATGTCAAGCTGCCTATTCAGTATCTCCATTTGATTAACAGGTGCTTTAAACTTACTGTTTCTCAAACAAAACTCTAGATGTCTTTTTTTTCTCCTAAACCAACTCTACTCTTTCTCTTTTCTGTAAATAGCATGACCTACTTTCTCAGGATAAGCAAGCTGGGATCATTCTTGACCTCTCCCTTTACTTTATAGTACTTCTTATATCAAATTCTGCCCATTACAAAATATGTCCAGAATGCTACCATATCCCTTTTACTGTTAAGACTCTAAGAGATCAAGCTCTCTTGCTGTGCTATTGCAGCAATTTTCTTAATGGTCTGTTGTTAGCACACTTGCCCATGTTTCACATTCAATCTACTCTAAAGAACTGCCAAGAGGAAAAAAAAAAAAAAAAAAAAAATGGTGACAAAACGAAGAAAAAAAAAAAAAAAAAAAAAAAGAACTGCCAAAGTGATTCCTTACACCACTGTTTAAAACATATTTAGAATAAATTCCAAAGTCCTTATCATGGTCTACAAGGCACAGCATGATCTGGCCCCCAGCTCCATCTCCATGTCATCCCTTGCCACTTGCTCTCTCCTTGCTCATTCTACTGCAGGTATTGGCTTTCTGCCACACTTTGCTTACCACCAAGGTTGCTTTATCTTAAAGCCTTTGCACATACTGTTGCCTCTCCTTAAAAACCCCAGAAATTAAGCAAGTATTACCCTGATACCAAAACCAGAGAAAGACCTAACCAAAAAAGAAAACTACAGGCCAATCTCCCTAATGAACACAAAGGCAAAAACTCTCAATAAAATTCTAGCAAACACAATGCAACAAATCATTAAGAAGATTATACATCATGACTAAGTGGGATTCATACCAGGAATGCAGGGATGGTTCATTACATGCAAATCAATTAATGTATACACCATGTCAATAGAGCCAAAGATAAAAACCACATGATCATCTCAATTGATGCAGGAAAACCTTTTGACAAAGTCCAACACTCATTCATGATAAAAACCCTACAGAAAATAGGAATACAT